TGTCCCTTTTGCCACATTCTTTGAGTAGTACTTTTTGATAGAGAAAAATCATCTCTGTCCTTGCCGGAAATAATTTTCTTTTTAGACCGTGCCACATTTTTTTCATATTGGTGGTTAGAGTTAGGGTCAGAAACATATTTTGAAAGCTTTGTGGTTTTTTTCCATGATGAGCTCACAGGGCCGGCCTCTTATTTCTGCTCCGTTGATGCTGTTGCTCACTTCCTCCACTCTAGAAAAAAAAAACAATCATCTGGGTGTAAAATGCGTCACCACCAGTCTAGCAGACACTCATCTCAAAAACTTTGGCATATTGAGAAATCCCAGTGGGCCTAACAAGCACTCTGTGAACTCATTTTGTAAGGGTTGGAATTTTACCAAGTTAATTGACTTGTTAAAGTTACTCACTTCAGGGCTAGCAGTTTGTATTATTAACTCCTAAGCAGGTCAATAGTGGGGGGTTAATGAAATCAGAAGAGAGGCAACAGACAGCTTATGAGGCACCAAAGTACTGTTCTCCTGCTGTCAGTTCAGAACATATGTATGTATTTTTACCATATGACTCACATTTTTAGATAACCTGACACCCTCAGTGTGTCAGGTTATCCAGTAGCTGACAACCTGATTATTAGTATGAATTAACCTGCACCTTGCATACAGGACTATACTTAGAAACTTTATCAGAGGATAACAAATGGCAGATGGCAGAAGTAGAAGTTGGGCTTTTTTGGTTACATGTCTTCGTATTGGCTTAGGTTGACTTTAATAAGAATCCGTCAAGGGTCTCAGCTTTTCTTGATTTGTCACCGAGCATTGATTCTTTTAAGCGCTTTTGTTGATAAGCCCTGTTTTAAGTGGCCACCAAATGTATTTGGCACAGTGCCAATCACAAATCGTAGCACACATAATTAAGCACACATTCAATTAAAATGGCTGGCAAGAAAACGGGGAGCCAAAACTGTATCGCACAAAGGATTAGCCTTTGCCAAATATAAAGTAAGGAAAACTGCTTTGGCAGTGTGATCCTGTTGTTTCTGGAAGCAGCGTGTACAGCTTTCAGGGGTCATGCACTCCAAAGACTCACCACCTGCAAAGAGCCAGCCACTCAGATCTGTTCTGCAGAGGAGCAGAAGTTTAGCAACCATCTGCATTACTCTGCTTTAAATGTAGTCCTTTACATGCAGCCATTTCTTGAATGCCAAAGAATAATTTTTCCTCATACCCCCCACATACCAGTGACTGCATACTGATTACATCACAATATTTGATGCTGAATTATTAAAAACACACACACGCACACAAGTTTAGGAGTTTTATTTTTAGATCTCTAATGAAGCATCAGACAACTCGGCATGAAACCATCTATGTAAAGGCAAGCTTGCTCAGTGATGTAACCAGGGGAGGAATGTGATCTTAAGTTTGATTTGATTTGACAAACGTGGCTAATGTGCACTGGCAGGGAAAACATGCCAGGAAAGCAAAAAGACAGGCTTCAGGGTGACGGGGGGGTCAGAACCGCTGTGGCTAAGGCTTTTAACTCTTCCTCCGCTGAACATATCCCATGCTACACTACTTACTCAGGATGGAACTTGAGGTTGTGCAAACAGGGTGGTGAGGAAAGGACAAGAAGACAAAACACTAATGGTTTCCTGTCCCATTAATGCTGGCACCGCAGTTCCTGATGACCTTGTTTTCCTGCCACTGTTGACTCTGTTTCTATAACAACAATTTTCTTCCACCCCAGAAGTCAATTCTTAGTTGTATGTTTTTTTTTCTTCTCCCTTTTTTCAAAACTGGAGACAGAACATAACCTCACTGACATTTCATCAAACAGTTATTTTATTATGTTTTTCTCACAATTATGAAAACACAGCAAGTTAAACTAGTTTCCAACTTTCAGAGGACTTTGTGTCTAATCTACTTCAGCTGTTGTGAATTGCAGTGGGATTTATAGTGGTTGAGACGCCTGTTCCTTGTTCTTGTGAAAAGAATGCTTTCTGGCAGTTTGCACTGAGGGGATGAAAATTGATTTCATCTGCAGAACTAAGTAACATGACTGAATATTTTATGGGCCTCTGTTATGACAAAATATCCATCTCCTAAAAATCCTCCACCGAGTTCAGATCTCTTTTTATGTTTTTGATGAAGGTTGTGAAGTTTCCTCATTACTGAATATCACATTACTCGTTTGTCTTCTCTTGACAGTTTCTTGCCTTCCAACCAAAAACATCATTGCATAATCACACAGCCAGACACTTTTTCCCTGCTGGTATCATCTCAGGCGTATAAAGTTGTGTTCAGTGACCCTTTGTTTGAGCCCACCGGTGGTCCGCACTGGTTGACACTCGTCTGATTTTTAACTCTAGATGTGCCGCGGGATTGACCGCAGCTCCGCCTCTTTCAGCTCTCTCCCTGGTCAACGAGACCCGAAATTGATGTAAAGAATATTTATGGATTTGACTCGTGAAGCCTTTTGCCTGCAGCAAAAGCAGAGCAGGCTGTGCGCCTGCTCACTGAGGATTGACATTTCTTCTTGTAAATCAGCTCTGACCCCTTGCAGGCTCATTTTGTAAGAACGTGAAGGGTCAATAAATAATAAATAAATAATATCATGTTTGATCTTTAAAAAAAAGAGTCTTCTTCCTTTTTTCTGTGTTACGCACACAGGATTTAGTGCTGTTTTTACATGTTTTTAAATTAGCGGTTGCATCAATCTCAGATGTACAGTACTTTATAATTGGAAAAGCAATGTAAGTCCTATGCAGTGTCTATAAACACAATTTTCTTTTTGTTACAGCTTTTCTTTCTATTATTTACCATAAGGGGAGTTCATTTTAATCTGGTAACCAGTGGGATCTGAATTATTAACACCAGTAATTAACCTGTGTGGGGCCTTAATGCATTCATGAGGGCCTCACTGGTTAAGTATCACATGTCTATTTTCTGCATCTGTTCACTCTCATAAACCTATCTATTTCATTTTCAGAACAAAGTCACCTTGCAGCTTTTCCCAGCAGCAGTTGCAACTCCCTGTTTGCACATGAAGCCTTACACCCAAATGCTGCTGTGCATGAGTGAGGGCTGCCGCACATTTCCAGGATATAGTTTCACTGCACAGTAACGTGGGTGTGAGAGCAGTGTTGAACTAAATAAAACAAGATCTAACCCCTTCATATGACACATCTGCGAAAACAGCTTTCGGTTTGAAACAAAGAGGAGCGAAGTTACTGTATCTCATTGTTTTGGAAATGAAAAAACTGAATTTGAACAGTCGCCCTGGATAGAGCACAAAGCATGGGAGTGACTTTTCGGGATTGTTTGTCCAGCTGCTGAGCTGCAGATTTGATGGAATGATCACACTGTGAAACCACATTTATATAGAACAGAGGTTGCTTGTGGAGTTAAAAGATCACTTAAGTTCACCAACATTGAGGTCTGTTATAAATAGTTTAGGGAAATATGCTTATTTATTGTCTTGTTAGAAGAGAAGGTTGATGCTACACAGCCCAGAGCTTTCATTAACCCAATTTTTTCTCATTTCCATTTGTGGATAACAGAGTTAACCTGCTTATGGCACTAACTTTGTACCATATTTAGCTAGCAGACATGTGAGGAATATCAATATTCTCATCTAAATCTTTGTTAGAAAACAAATATTCCCAAAGAATGTCAAACACTTCCGCCAAAGTGTTGCAGATTTATCTGAACACTCTACAAACATTCCTGCAGAATCCAAGCAACTAAAGCCAACAGATTTAGTCAAAGATATGAAGCTCTTTATTTCATTTTTCTGACGTTCTGTATGCAATGACGCATTTTTTAAATGAATTTTAGTCTAGCTCCATTCATTTTTGCATTTATTGTTTTTTATTTAATTTTTACAATTAGTGTTTATGTTAAGACTCTGAAAAGTGTTCCTAAAAATGAACCAATAAAGGAATCAATAATCAAAACTGTAGATTTGAGATAACAGGAAGAAAGTTGTCTTTGTTTGCGAATCCTGTAGGTTACTGAATCCCACGTGCAAACACACACTATTTCTGTTGAGGGTCCCACGCTTTTCCCAGATTTACATGGGGGGTAGATGAGTGCAAACCAGGAGAGGTCTGAGGTAGCATTGAGGTTTCAGGTGACGGGTACTGTGCAGATTTGTATAGGGGCAGACAGAAAGCTACAAGGCCGATTGCCCTGTCGAATGTTGTGGAAAATTCCCTGACCTTGAGGAGTGTTGTGTTACACCTTCCAGTGTGGCTCCTGGGCTCGTCCCAGAACAGAGGGTCCTTTGAGGCAGGGCACAGAGGATTTGCAAAGTCAGTAAGAAAAAAAAAAGAAGAGTAATCAGTAAATCGTAAATCCTTAAGAGACTTATGATGAGGAAAAGACTATCTATAATGACGAATGCTTTAGATTTGATAGTTGAGGTCACTCATCCCACAAGATTCTTAATCATGGCATTATTTGAGCTTGATTACTTTTTCTGTCACTTTAGATCATCCAGACTTACAATTTTTCCTTTGCTCCTTTTCCTATCCATGGCAAAACTCTGACACTTCAGAGAAAACGCTGCTGGATAGAGATTTTCTATGTGTGTTTTCCCCCTGTGGCTTTACCTGATTAAAGAGGATGCAAAACTCTGACCTTTATAGTGACGTATTTCTGCCTAGTGCAAAACAAAAGAATTTCGTTATACTTAATTTCTCAACTTTTTTTTATTTCCTTTGCATATATTTTCTCTGCTGTGGGTGTCTGTTATTGAGTTTGACAGAAGCATAAAAATGTTTAACCTTGCTACTGAGTTGAATTTATTGTCACAGTATGATAATGGTATACATATTTCAGGTCTCTGGTGGTGCTTGATTTGCAGCTTTTTAGATGGGAAATCACTGATCAATTTTCAATCTGCTCAAATTACTTTAATTTCTGAGTGATAAAGCTTACTCAGGTGTGTCTGTTCTTTCTTTCTTGTGTGTGTGTGTGCGTGTCTCTGCGTGTGTGTGTGTGTGCGTTTACTGCAGATGGTGAGTCATGCCCACTCTCCTGGATTGTCTTGGAGAATAGCTGGCCACAAAAAACCGAAGGATCTCGGCTCAGCTGGTAAATAAAGCCCTCTTCCTTGCGTGCAGCGTGGGAGAAAGTGTCACTGCAGGACTGGTGAGGCATCCTCTGTAACGGCTGATAAGAGGAGTGAAAGCAGGGTTGAGCGATCATCTTTCCTGCCGAGCCACTCACCTTTCAGGCCATGGCCTCATAGCCAGCTGTGAAGGTTGGACTGTCAGTAGGAGCGCACACACACACTCTCAGGTGGACACAGTCTGCAGAGCAGCACAATGAACCCACACCCGTCTCCCTAACAAGACATCAAGTTTGCAAATGAGAGACAAGTCATGTGATTTCTTGCAAGAACTTCATACAGGATTAAGACTTTGACAGAATTTTTTTCTTCTTCCCTTGGAGCGGAGTGGGAGTGTGTGGTGGGAGCAGAGGGAGAGCTGGGTGCTGATTCGTCTGCTTTATGAGTTATCATCACTGGGAGTGTGTGTTTTTGCGTGGCAGGGGGAGCTAGCATGGCCAAGCCTCTGCTGAGGATACAGCGCTACTTCCGCAGGAAACCTGTCCGATTCTTCTCCCTGATCCTCCTCTACCTGACGGCCGGCAGCCTGGTCTTCCTGCACTCTGGCTTCGTTGGGGACAGTGGTCCCGGGGCCAGGGGGGGAAGGGACGCCGTTGTGGCCTCAGAGACGGGCGGCAGGACGTCATCAGATACACGCGGTTTTGGTATCATGAGCAGAGTGTTTAAGGAGACGCGCAGGTCCGGACGAAGGTATGGTCCCCGTTGGATGAGAAAGGGTGGCCAGGAGGGCAACGCGGTGACCAGGAAGGGGGGAGACTACACCAGCAGCTGGAACCGTGCACTGAAAGGACGGAATGCCAAAGACATGGATGAAGCAAGAGGTGAGATAAGCACAGATTCCTCCTGCTACATTCAGAATCTGTGAAGATCAGCATCAGGATTTACAGCTGCAAATCCCCTGTTGCATTTCTAGAAATGTATAAACTGTATTCAAGTTAAGATTATTTATGAATCACAATGGGCTGAATGGCCACTTTACAGGTGTAAAGAAATTGCGGCGGCATTTTAATTGCTCAGCCTTCCAAGCCGTATTTGGTCTTGTGGGAGAACTCTTGAGAGTGCAGTCAGATGATGATTATGATTAAGTGCTCAGACTTTTCTTGGTGTAATGCTTCGGGGAACCCACACTCAGTTCAGCTGAAGCTTTGCTGTGTACTATTCAGCAGGTGCTCAGACAGAGTTTGGTAGATTATATTATGACAACATCTAAATGACTGCATAACTTCAAGATTTACAGCTCTATCTGTCGTTACAATAAACATTGCCAATGCATAATTCCATTGAAAAAGTTTACATATAAACTTGTGGTTGACAGGTAATATTTGGTTTTTGGAAAGCTGCTTTGTGCCCAGAGCTGCCATCCCTGGATAACTCGGATGTCCTTATTGTCAATACTTGAAACACGGTCAAAGTGTCAGACAATATAATGTTCATGGTTCAGCTATTTCTTTTCATCTGAGCATTAAGCACAGCGCTTAGTTTCAGGTCCTTTTACATTGTTTAGTATGTATCTTTTTTTTTGTTTTACTATGTGCTTCCAATACATAGTTACATCTTAGGAAGAAACTGTCAGAAAGCTTTACATACTTGTCGTTTTTAGGATGAAAATAGTTTGAGATTAACTGAAAACAACACACTTAAATGTCCCTACACATGTTTATATATGTGTAAATGTATGCATGTGATTAACTTTAGAATGAGCATGTGGTAGAGTTTAATGAGCACAAAAGCAGCATTTCATCCTTGTCAGGGGAGTCCAGTGACTTAATATATGGTGATGTTCTTAGGTGTGTGAAATCTATGTCCAAACTATAAAGAAAAAATTGATAGAACTATTAGAACTGTTGAAGAATAGCCAATTTGGAGAGAAAATGGTAGCAGCAGAACTGAAGTGAATAACAGCTCCCCTGCAATCAACTCAAGTTGCTATATGCTAAAGTGTTATTACTTTCTCAGAAAAAAAAGAAAAACATCAACTTGGGCAGTGTCATACATCTGGTTGTGGTAAAGCTGGACTGGTATGGAGTCAGCCTCACTTGAAATGAGTTCATCCTATCTGGTTGTTTCTATTTATTCAACCACTGTCTTAGAATAGCCACTGCACAGTGCCAGGATTTTTGCAGCAACTCCATTTTCACCATGTGGGTTTGCGGTATCTGTTGAGTTAGTGCTCTGAAGACAGGTGATGAATCTAAACTGTACATGAATATTTAAGAAATCTGAGTGTGAAGGACTGCTGCTCTATCTGTGTCAAATGCCAAACCCACCCTCCTGATTTCAACTCTGGGAAGAACTCCAACATCTGTGGTCATGGCAAAGGTCAGAAAAGAAAAGAACAGTACCCTGCTATGCGGTGGAGTATAGACGATTTTTCTAACTACTACAGAACCAAGCAACAACTTTCCCAAATGAAATACGGAAAAACCAACATGCTTTTATTGTATAGTGAAGCAGAGGGTTATCCAATCAATTGAAGGTCTCTCTCTCTGTCTTGCTCATCCCTCCCCCTCTCCTCCCACTCTTCCCTTTTCTGCAACACTAACCTCTTGGGACGGCAGCTGAACGTGATGATAGAGTAATTAATAGCTTCAAAGAATTTGTTTTCTCCTGCATCCAGCACCACTCATTATTCTGTAGCCTAAAACATCTCCCTCTTTGGGTTAAAGGGTGTACACTCCCTCTCCTCTTGCTCCAAATACATTCTTTCTTTCTGGCTCTGAATCTGATTTGAAAGAAAACCTTGCAGTGTACGATGCACGCTGCACCACATACACACTTTTTTGCTTGTGGTGCAATAGCACAGACTGCCGCATACTTTACTGATCAGAAAACAGGACTTGGCTAGAGGGAGAATTTACCCAAAAACACTAATGTGACTCAGCTGGTGCAATCATCTGCATCTGCATGACTGTATCGTCCTTTTCTCTCATGTTATTCCAAGCAGATATCAAGCATTCAGAGCAATTAAATCAGCATACTGTCTAATAGCAGGTTATATATCAACTGCCTGAGTGAAGGAAGAACACAGCCTGCTACAGACCCCCCCCCCATGCTGCTCAAATGCGGGCTTCGAACAATATTTTAAAGTAATGCTGTGAACTCTATCTTCCTCCATTAATAGAGGCTTAGAGTGATAAGGGGTTTAAATGGCCAGGGGTCTGTTGAAGCTTTTGTTGCCCGGATAAACAGGAGAACATTGTTTTTATGAGGAAAGAAGCTGTTGAGGGGTCAAACTTTATCCCTCTGCAGAGGTTCACTGAATCCCAGCCCCCACACATTTATGAAAAATGCAGTGAGATGAGTGCCACTACACTTACAGGCCACTAGAAGGGGATGTGTGTCCTTATAAATAAATAAATACTCTGGCCTAGTTTTGACTCCTCATGTGTTTGATACTACACCGTGCACCCTTGTGAGGAAGATACACTGTTTCAGATAATATTCTCTTTTTATTTGATATCCTGTGATTTCTGGTTGCTGAAGTGTATATCTAGCCATATCTGTGTGAAGCAAATATATTAAATTTGTTGTCCTTTTGTGAATGTTTCCTCTATTTTTTGTTCTTTTTCAGCAAAACACATCGGCTGCTATGTTGATGACATTCAGAAAAGAGCATTAAGAGGAGTTTCCTTTTTTGACTACAAAAAAATGACCGTATTTCGTTGCCAGGACAACTGTGCTGAAAGGTATGACGCCAGCAAACAACAAACAACACATCCATCAATTATTCCTCTTTTTTAACCTTTGATTCGTTTTATACTCTCAGCTCAGCTATGAAATAGAGCAGGGATATTGCTGCGGAGGAGGTGGTCAAAAGTAACCAAACAATAACCTCAAACCCTTATTTAAACTTTAAAACTGAGCATACCACATCTATTGATGAAAATAATATGAGATAACCGAGCATTCCAGAAAAACATCTGAATGGCAACACAGTTTGAAATCGTAGAGGATCCAATGCCAATGTTAAAGCAAGAGGCAAATAGTTGAATATATTAATAAAAATAAAAGAAACCCTAATTCATGAGCCTGGGGGGAGCAGAAAACTGGACTAGACTGGAATGCAAGGATTGAGAAAACGAACTTGTGGCACGAAACTAAGAAAAGCTGGAGTTGAAGTGATTTTGTCCAACCGTGGCTCAATTAGCCTGTCACGGTGACCCGGGGTGAATAGACCTGCTGGGCCATGCTGGGCATTATGAGTGCCTTAAATAGTATTCCTCTCCCTGGACACGAACTAGCCTATTATTTTCTGTGGCAAACTTGAAGTTGAATGAACAACATATTCAGCTCAACATTCTGGTTTCACGCAATACTCTGGACCTGAAGGACACTTGCTGATAGATTCATCCACTCATATGAAACGGAAATCCTTTATGTTTTACTGCGTTCCAGAAAATGGTGGTTCTGTGTTTTTTAAAGCATTTATCTCTCTATACTTCTGCCCCATTAGTTTTCTGTTTCCCTCACATCCTGTCTCTCTTTGCTACCCCACCGTCCTCCTCTCGATCGTTTTCTCCCCCCTGTGGAATACCAGAGACGGCTCTATCAAATGCATTGAATTACACCCATCACCGATTCGCAGAGCAGGAAATAGGAGCAGAGAAGCAGAGAAAGATGCACAATTGCAATTTACCGTCTCCTTTTGGCTCGCGGCCTTTTACAGCCTACCTGTCTTCTCCCTCAGAGCCGCGGGTTATAAAAACCTACAAACAAATGAGGGGCAACACGCAGGAGCACACAGAGGTTTGAGTTTGACTGACAGCCCAGGGGATTTGTCTTGTATACCGGGTGTGTTAGTCATCTAATTGCATCTGAGAGGTCTTCTGGGAGTCAAAATCCCACAAAAAGAAAAGAGAGGAGACGGCTTGTATGATTCGCTCTCTGATTCTCTCCCACATTTTTAATTGGCTTTGCTTTAGAGGCATGCAGAAGACAATATATAACTCATCTTATTTTCACCCACCAATCAGAAATAGGTCTTTTCAGAGTAATGTTTTCAATTGTTTCATCCTTACCGCATCACCCCATGCATATTGTTTGTTTTTTCTGTATTGATTACAACTCACCCTGCTCAGAAGGATACATTTTAATGACCTGGGAGGGATAACGAAATGTCAGAACAGCCACTTTAATCTCTCCGTTTTCTTTTCCCAAAAATTCAAGTTGTGTTTTGTGTCTTCCAGAGGCTACATGTATGCGGGGCTGGAGTTTGGGGCAGAGTGCTACTGCGGTCACAAGATTCAGGCGCCCAACGTTTCAGAGAGTGAATGCAACATGGAGTGTAAGGGAGAGAGGAGCAACCTGTGCGGAGGAGCCAACAGATTGTCCATCTACAGGCTGGAGCTGAGCCAGGAGTCAGCGCGTCGCTGTAAGTCTGACGTTCTGATTCGCACAAACAAAAAAGCTGCTCCCCGCAGCGCTGCAGAGGACACACAAGGGAGAGCTCCATTTCTGTCAGCTGCAGTACAAATCTGTCAGAGAAATCTTTCTACTCTAAATGTCCTGAGAACGACCGAAGTAGACCTGAATATAGCACTCAGCTGACAGGTGAGAAAAGGCTGTTTTGATGCAGAAATGCAGGATCACTGATTTCATTTGTGTTATTTTGACTTATTGCCATATTTATGAGCAGCCTGCTCTGTTGTTCCCCTTTTACCCACGAGAGCTGTTCTACCTATATAGGCAGCCATGGTGTGCATGTGTAACACTTTCTTAGTGACAGGAAAAACCTGCAATCTGTGATTGTTAGAAGTGAAAAAAGGATGTCAGTGTTCTGTGGTGCCAGTGGGAAACACAGGTTTTGAGATGATGCTCATAGAATTGGTGTCTGTTCTGTTTTTTTCTTCCTTTGTGGTGGAATTTTTTCTTTTTGAAACTTAAAAAAGTCCCTGCCTTAAGGTGAGGTCACTTAAAAAGCCACTTCTTCCTTCTTCTTATCTGCTTCCACCTTCTTTAAAATACCCATTTACACCGATCACAAATCTGTCTTCATCCATCAATAAAATGTAGCTTGTCTCTCCTTTTCTCCCAAAGCTTGTTTGTTATTATTTTCATTTCTGCTTTTCAACCCATGCCTTCAATGAAACAGCCATGTAAGCTAATTTTACTGGTGTTTTCACCCCTAACCTTTATCTATATCATGTGAGGTCTGCCCAGAGTACCAGAGAAAGAGGAAATGCAGGAAATGGGTTATGGTGTCTGTTTAGTGAGTTGTGCTTCATGGAAGCCAGTTATGCTCATAATCTTTGGTGTTTTTAACAGTAATTAATAGCTGAAATCTTTCAATTTTCCTTTCCTTTGCCTTGTATGTGATTAATTTTTGGTGCTGCTTCAGAAAAGCCTGATTCTTTTGAAGTACAGAAAGGGAGGATGAAAAGACACACACAGCGTTGGGAGTCAAAGCCTGACATTAAAAATGCAACTTTTAGTAAAAATGAAAAGGTCAAAAATTAATAAAACATCACACTTACTTGCATCTTGAGACAATTCGCCATTGGTGCCTCTTTTTAATGAGCAGTCGAGTTTACAGTTAGTTCAATTTTTCAACAAGGAAATGTTGACTTAACCTTTCTGTGTTGGACAAGTTCAATATTTACATATGTTTGAATGAGCATGCTTATTTTTCAAAATATGATAATACCTTATTATAAAGATATACTAGATTCAGGGCAAAGAGAAGAGCTCTTCTTCACTTCATTAATGACATACCAGCCAGTTATCCATCATCTCAGAGAGAGGTTAAGGGTCATCATCACACAGCGGGGATGTGTGATGATTCTGAGAGCTCCGTGTGCTGGCAGGTCAGGGCCTCGGTAGACTGAGGGAGAGTCCCACCGAGATCTCATCATCAAGGTTAGTGGCAGGGAGCCATTATGATGAAAGCTGCGTTCAGGAACCATAAAACTGGAGCCCATCGTGTGTTTTCTCCTGATGATGACTAACATCCCCATATGTTTTGTCTCTTTTCAGACGGTAATGCCATTTTCAAAGGCTGTTTCCACCGGCCAGACAATGTCACTCTGGCTCTCCCCTTCAGCGCTGTCATCCAAAACATGTCCGTGGACAAGTGTGTGGACCTGTGTACTGAGAAGGTGAGCGGGCAGAGGACGCGTGCGTTCGTGCTTTGTATACGTGTGAATTGTGTGCGTCTATCCTCTAAACCCTGCATGACGGCTGTTGTGTTTCAGGAGAAATCCCTGGCGGTTTTGGCTGGAGACCAATGTTACTGCGGCTTCCCGACCCCTCTCTTCTCCCTTCATGAGCTGGAGAATGAGGACATGTGTCTCCATCGCTGCCCCGGCGAAGAATTCGAAAGCTGTGGAAACGACAAGTTCTTTGTGGTTTACCAGACACAGGTTCAAGGTGAGTACGTCTGAACAGTTGCTGGTCAGGTTTTAGCGCCCACCCGTGTCTACATTTTGCCAGGCTTACAAAAAAACGATTGAAAGGAAATGAAAGTGCCATGTCGCTGGTTTGAACTAAAGACATCTATGTCATTATAAATGGAAGGAACTTAGAGTTTAGTCTGACCGCACATTTGTTAAGTGTCAGGCCTGGCAGATCAGGGTACGCACTAAGTGTAAAACTTTGAAATGTGGAACACTGTGATCCGCTGCTAAGACAATGACAATGAATTGCTCCATGAGCTCAAACACACTAATGGAGGGGCTGAGTTGTCTGTAACACTTCACCCTAAAGAGTACTGAGTTCCCAAAGAGCAGATGAAGAATAAACAGTACAAGAAATAACACTGCATCAACACACTTTATCTAGTAGTTTGTGAACATGTCATGATAGGTTATTGTAAAATAGCTATTGATAAATCATTATTAACTACCGTGATCACTCCTAAAGAAGGATTTTGTGGATGTTAATGGCAGACCAAGGTTTTGTTTTAATACAATTCTATGTAAGTGCTAAACTTAGACTAATTGCTTCACTGTGCCACACTTTGCATATTGAACTATCTATCTTTTAGTTGCTCTTTTGAATCATACTAGATGTTGTTATTGTTAATTGTCAATACTTAATTAGTTCTTCTCAGACATTTTATTTTCATGTTAGGAAACTGCAATTCAGTCAAACTAAATTCAATTTAATAAAACGGAATTTATATTACTGCTGTATACATTATTTATATATCTATGTATATGGTTGATTTTTAAACAAAATTGAATAAAAATCAGTTGACATGGTGTGGTTATAAGCCACAGAGATCTCATGGATAACTGGTGCATTGTTTTTGAAGCTTGGCCACAACTAATCTGATTATGGCGCCCACAGTGCAGGCCGGTAGCTCAGCTGAAACCTCTCACCAGAACATCACGCTCAGTGTGATCACAGTTGTGTGGCTGCGACGTAAGCAGCCATTTGAAAAGAAAATCCTTGAGTAAAACTTGATTCTGTCCTATGATTTCAAAGAGATGCAAATCATGTGATTAATCAGGCTGTTATAAGGGCACAAACTCACTTAACTGCCAGTGTAATGCACTGCTTTATTTGGGGGGGGGCACAAGAAGCGAGACTGTGATAAATTATTGGTATCTAGATAAGTATTCTATTTTACTCTATGGAGTACTAAATACTGACTAATGTTTATGTAGTTATTAAAAACTTAGTCAGCAGAACCTCCTCCGGGAGCAAATAGTTGTGTGATTAATTCATATTAATCCAAATTAAAAAATGAATCGACTAATTAAAAATGAATCAATTAGCAAATAATGCCGAGATCATTCATTACTTGTTTCTCAATTTACATGCCATTAACTTACTATTATTTACTTGAGTTTTTAGAAGGGATATTTAAAAAAACCAATGGCTAACAAACAGTTAGTCACTTATTTGTTCATGGGGGGGAATTGTGTTGTGTTTGCAGGAATCAAAGATGCCAAAGGCTTTTAGTTTTTCTAAAATCACAGCTGAAAAGAGGGATATTTGGTCTGTGCATCGATAAATGTTTTCAAGGCCTCGTGCAACAGATAAAGAAGAAGTGTTGAAGACAAATAATAAAAAATGACTGTGCTGCACAGCAACTTATACAGCCTCAAGACTCATATCATGAAATATTAAGAGTAAAGCATGAAGTATTTAGGTTTTTTATTAATTACCAGCAATGTCTTTTACTTTTACAAAACTCACATTGGCTGTTACTTCCACTGCCATCTGTGAGAGCCGAACACTTCTTTAGTTTTCTCACATTGGATTAAACATCGAAAAGAATGCATGTTGATACAGCATTTTGCTCAGTTAATTTTTTGTCTGTGTTTCCATATCCAGCGCAAACACTCAGTTTGTGTCTGTTATACGTGTTGTTGTGGGTAGTGTTTCCTTAGTGCGCCAGACAGTTGTGGCTTGGATCAGCAAAATGGCAACCCAGTAAACAAAACAAAAAAATGCAAAGCTGTTAAGGCAAAAAAAACAAAAAAAAACAAGGGGAAGTTGCAAGTGAACTTTGTGCAAATATTCCTGACTGGCTAACCTGAAATGCATGCAACTGTCTCATATCTATTTCACCCCAAAATATGTATCTGTTTTAGCCAGTAGTCAAATGTCATTAAGTATGTATTATGAGGCAATACATGCCCACAAGCGACACAAAAACTCTGACCTTTGTCCTCTCTCTTATGGCTTTGTCATTATATTCCAAAGTTTCAACATAATTATCAGGATATGACATCTTACAATCTTGCAACATTATAGATGAGAAGGAAGTGACGAACTTTCAGAATCTATTTGAAGGTTTATCGTGTTTAGCAACTTGGCATATATCACTGTCACAGATCAAGGATATGTTTTTTTTTCTTTTCAGATCAGTAATTAGTCCCTGTTGCTTATTTTGTCTTGTCAGATAATCGCTGTATGGACAGACACTTTCTTCCCACTCGTGCTAAGCATCTCGTGGCTCTCGCCAGTTTCCCTGGAGCTGGCAACACCTGGGCTCGCCACCTCATAGAGCTCGCCACGGGCTTCTACACAGGCAGCTATTACTTTGATGGCTCCCTATACAATAAAGGTGGGGCTCGGCATGTGTCTCAAATTATTCACAAATATTTGTTTGTATGTCTGTGTAAAGAAGAAATACACTATGGGATTCACAGGTTTTAAAGGAGAGCGGGACCACTGGAGAAGTGGGAGGACGATCTGTATTAAGACGCACGAGAGCGGCAGGAAAGAGATTGAGGCCTTTGAGTCGAGCATCCTCATGATCCGAAACCCTTACAAAGCCCTCATGGCAGAATTTAATCGGAAATATGGTGGACATATTGGATTTGCCTCACAGGCGCACTGGAGAGGAAAAGGTAAGCTGTTCAAATCTGTGGTTCTGTTCTGCTGATACTGTTGCGTGTAACGAGGTGAGAAAAAGGGAGAGATCTAGAGATAAATTTAGACTTAGATTTAAAAAAAATCTTTGTTGTGAAGAAAATGGAAGTTTAAATGGAAGTGTTAAAATAGCAAATTACCCAAAAGGGTGGGACTTAGAATGGGGAGGAAATTGGGTAAATGCGGTTTGACCCAAGCGGGGCTGTGGAAGAAGTGTTTGGTTTTATACATAAAGATATTCCAAAACCATTACCATGACAGTGGGCAAAAATCTGAGTTTATTAGGGAAGTGAAAAAGTGAACCAACCAGCTACTGCATTACTTATTGTGAGGAGTCAGTGCAATCTTCTGTCTTTTTATTTAAACCCCTGCATGCACGCTTGTATGCTTTGTGTTAGAGGACAATAAATTAATGAGCAACTTTCCGCATCAACTGTTGAAACTTTGTGGCCTAAAAAACAGATAAATACTACATGCTCCTCTGAAACACCACTGATCGAATGCTGTTTAAGCACCTATTTTCTCCCTACTGAAAAATGCTCTATATATACTAAAAAGGGAGTGAAAGCGAACTATTCCCAATCAAAATAATTACTCTGACAACAAGATATCTTAAGTGGTGAGCTGCAGAGAACTTCATTTTTTTCTAATGTGTAATGAAAAGGTATTTAAGTATGTGCGTGTCTAGAACAACTCTGATCTTAATTCTGCAAGGGTCTCTAATTCTTTCAAATGACTTTCCCTCATGTAGAATTATGATTAGAATCAGTACGGTGAAAAGGATCTTTTATGTCCACTTTGCTGTGTAGTAAATTTGGACAATTAAGACATTTCCTATTCTATTCAGTGCCCTGTATTGCACAGTCATTTAATGGCACGGCAGTACAGATTGGACAAGTCAAACACTTCCTCAGTCTAGTGGATATTTATTAGGCAAATTCATTCGGAGATAATTTAAAAGAATGTCCCCGGTTAGGTATGATCTCTGTATTTCATGCAAACTGCTCCACGATCTTCTATCCACCAACCTTACGGTGTCTCAGTAACCATGACAACTGGCTTTGTCTTGCCCATGTATCATCTCTCTTACTTTCCTGTGAGGTTTAATCGATTTTCCGGAGGCTGGAGAGTTGCCGACCCAGCAGTTGTCTGTCTTTGTGAGAACATCAGCACACGTTTGGCCTGCCATATCCAATGAATGTTTCCCATTTCTGTTGGTGGGCAAATGATGCAGTGACATCTGTGCGGAGAAAAGCTTTTTGACAGCTGCCACTTCAAATACAGAGAGAAGAACTCCGGTCAGTGTCACATTGTGTACAGGACCGCACATGTTCGAATTGATGCACTCACCTACGGTGAGGGAGGCCGTGGGGCTGGAGTGATGCTACAGACACTGAGGCCACCCGATAAAAGTCGACTCAGGGGCGAGTGCGAGGACATGTCATTCAACAAAGCACAATGCTTTGTTTCCCCACTGTTTGGTGACTTTGCTTACATAAGCATTCTTTTTTAGACAAAACCCTGCTCACAGCAACATAGATTTATTCATTAAAACTGACATTTAGTCAAACTTAAGCTGTATGGAAGGGGTTCCGTTTTCTTTGTTTTCTGAATGTTAAGCTCAGCGTTCTCTTGAAAGGCAGATAGAAAAGGGGAACAGATCTGGTGTGGTCAGAAAAACACATGCTGCATGCGAAGGCTTAGGCCAACTCTGGTCAAACTGTCTGTTCCTCTGACTGAGTAAGAGATTCCAGGAAAAAGATTTGATGTCATCCGCCATAAATGTACTCTCTGGTATTTTTGAGAGAGTCATAATGTGATGTTGACCAAAGGTGCTCCCATTCTAATCAGCCCTGACCTTTGCATGATGGTAACCCCTGATATACATTCAGTGACTACTCGCATCCATTTTTTACACACCAAAACTAAATATTTAGTTGATTCCTGACTGCTTTGTTTAGTTCTGACTGCTTTGTTGCCACAAACAAGTGCAAAGCAGGGTGGGCTTCAGGAAGCCAAAAAATCAATAAAGAGCCCCCACATGCATGGCAAACAACACAAAAACTCCAGGCGGGGTTTGAACCACACACCCTCTTGCAGCCAGCCACAGCACCAGCCTTTCTCACCATAATGTTCAGTTACTCTGGCACAAATGGTTATTCAGTTATTCTGGCAGCACGTTGTTCCTGCACCAGTCAAAGCATGATCAGTTTGCATAGATCCGATTACACAGCAGGCTGTCCAACCATTTGCTCTCAGCCCATATCTGTTTTTTCTTTCTAAACTTATTTGAAAAAAAAGAAAAAGCAAAGATGCGTCTCACTTAAACAGGTCATCTTTAAGTCAGTGATTTTTTTTTAATGTCAGCTCCCCATTTAGTCACTTGCCTCCTCATAGACGCAGGAATTTTGCCCATGTCAGTGTATCTTAGAGTCGCCTCTGTCATTGGTTTTTGAGACAGCCCTGCAAACTCAGCAGGCTTTAAACTTTAACGACAACCTCTCCCAGCAGTGACGATATGCTCTGCTGCAGCACAGCTCCTGCCAGCTGCTGCTTTTATGGGCCAGTAGATTACCATTGAGTAAAAGTTGCAGATATCGAACCCTCCTGCAGCACCTCTGCAGTTTGACTGATAACCGGGAACATCTAATAAACTGTCCAGACATTTTCAGGAATTACTTAAATGTATCTTAAAAAAGAATTGCACCAGACTTCGTAGGCTAAATGATATCAGCTCACTGCTGACATTTCCTCTCTATGCGGTTCTCTCCCAGACGCATTCAATATATTCGAAGCTGAGACTGCACAAAACACAAACTGCAAAATGAATTCAGAATAAACATGCTTGCTTCACACGCCTGAACTTTTACTTGGAATATTTTGTTGACTCATCAGAGTGCGATTTCCCGTCGCCTCGTATTAAAGCCATTACTGTGTATGGTGCACTGATCACAAGTGCTTCCTGACAAATTGCCCTTGCTCTCCTTTTACTCCACAGAGTGGCCTGAGTTTGTCAAGAACTATGCTCCTTGGTGGGCGTCCCACACACTGGACTGGCTGAATTACGGGAAGAAAGTCCACGTGGTTCATTTTGAAGGCCTGAAGAGGGACCTCTTCACCCGGCTCAAGGGTATGGTTCAGTTCCTGGGCCTGAAGGTGTCGGAAGACCGCCTGCTCTGTGTCGAGGGCCAAAAGGACGGAAACTTTAAGCGATCTGGACTTCGTAAGCTTGAGTATGACCCATACACACCTGATATGCGAGCAAACATCGATGAACTGATCAGAACAGTTGATGCTGCCTTGAAGAAAAAAAACATGTCTGGAGTTCCAGAGGAATATATGCCAAGATGATAAATGTGTTTTCCTAGATGTTTTTTTCTCGTCAATATATTTTGTAGGATTATAAGACTCATAGTTTTTCCAATAATTTTTCCGTCATGCCACTTAGTTTGAAGCTGTAGAAAAAAGACATCTGCCTCTTTATTTAAGTTTTTTTTTTTATTCTTTTGGATTTAACTATCTGTTGAATTTCCACAGCCTAATACATTTACACACAAAGCATTCTTAGAGACTCACCTTTCTGTTTTGCTGAGGGAAAACCGGCTCTATGCATACCTACTGTGTAGGCATGTGCACATGCCTAAGCGCCACGATGGAAGCTGATCACAGAGGGGCTCATTTGACTGCGCTGGGTGGTTTGTCGCCAGTGAAAATAAACATTTTTCTGAAGTTGTGATACAACACAGCAACGTGTTGTGAAGCTAATTTTGTACAAAACAGGTATAACTATTTAGAGAGACAAATTGTAATAATTTTCTGCTGCTATCGTAATTACAAAATACTTTTATAAGTGAAGTTCTCAGAAAATTAAAGATTTAATCTCTATATCAGAGGGTAGAAATGCAATATGTCATTTACTGATGGTGATGATGATGATGATGATGATGATGATGATGATGATGATGATAATGATCATACTGTGTTCCCATGTTTTCTTAAGTTATTCATCTTTCTCCTGTTTTTTGTTGATTGATAAGAGATAATAAGTAGATGAATGATCTCTTTTGAATACACAGACTTGAGGAGAGAACAGGATTAATGTCTTGAGTGTGTATTTATCTTTGGTGTGCATTGAACCTGTTGACCAACTTGGTTACAAAGACGTTTTCTTAACACTGAACTTGATGCAAAAATCCAAAAAGCACCTCACTGTGCAGCTGCCTCCCCAAAGTTCATTGAAGAGTTGGTTAGTACACTCGCAATCAAAGCTACTTATTGTGTTTGTGACCGGTATAGATTTACTCCTGACAGCTAATCCTGTAGGTTATTTTGCTTTGCTTTAAAAAAAGCTATACATTATTCAAAGCAGGTCATTTCAAGGAAATATAATTGTTAGCTGCATGTATTACGGTACCCAATGTGCTCTGCCATATGTTTAAAAATCAGCATATTTACAAAGGATTCAGATTCAGATTCAACACTTCAACACATTGTCTTTCAAATATACACTACAGTGCACATAGACAGAAAAAATAATTAATGGATACAGATTTTCTTTTTTCAAACTCTGGTCACGAGTGTCAGGAGAAAATATTAGCTGACTTCCAGTTTCAGTATGATAAAAAATATATATTTTTATAGTATATGCAAACACACCAGAAGTATTTGTACTGAAACAAGCAAATGGGAAAAGTTGTTTCAATTTTCAACATTTGCTTTAAATCTTATTGGCTCTTGCTTTCACTGAAAAACTGACACCTAATAGAAAGGTGTCAAGAATGAATGTATTTTGTAATGACTGAATGTAACATCATAAGGCCCAATAAATTAAAATGTAAATTAAACTATCTGGTCTGTCGTGCCGTCTGTAAAAATGTTTGCAAAGGATGTAATGGCCATATGTGTCTCTCTTCTATTAAATGCCTTTAGCTGTGCAATTAATACCTTAAAATAGATTCATTAATCTCAATATATATACTGATTAATGCATGATAGATCTTGTTGTACTTTCCCTCCGATTCTACCAGCTGTACATGTGCTAAATAATACAAACACTTGACAGTATTATCATAAGGGTTTATTCTGTTATAATGGATCAGGGGGAATTAATAGTAGCTTAACAGTATAACTCATTCCATACTGTTATGGAGCATCCTCAGGGAGACTCCCTCCTGACATACATTTTAACCAGTTGCCTGAACCACCTCAACACCCTGCTTTCAATGAAGAGGAGCGGTGGCTCTTGTCCAAGCTAAAAGGATGCCTGAGCTTCCTACTTTATCTTTAAGGTTGATCCCAGCCTCCCACAGATTAAACCCAATTGAGGCGTTTGTATCCTTATCTCATTCTTTTTCGATTTTCGGCATTACTTGCTCCATTTCTTGTGTAGTCTTAAACACGTATATAAGAGATATTAAGCTATCTAGTGACATGACTTTAGGTGTCTAAGTGGCCACATCAGCAATGTTTTACTTAGGTTTACGTTTGAAGTTTAGCTTCAGACTGGATGATTACTAAATAATAAATTTTTAAGAGATTATAGGAGCAGCTTCTTCGATACTACTGGTGCCAGCTGTATTTCAGGCTGAAGATGTCATAAACTTCTATTTATATTATATAATTTTCACCCTTTTTTCAGTCTGATGAAATACCAGCAAGTCAAAAAGGGTATAGTTATCTCAATTGCTGACTAATAGAGGTCTGTGTGTCTCTTTTACTTTCAGTGGTTACTGTTTTTCCTGTTTCAGAGAGTTGTCTTTGGTCATTTTTAGCTCATGGTATCCACTTCCTGTTCAAGGTACTGGTACCACTGTTTTAGTTTTCAGAAGTGTAGTCAACTGTCTCATTGTTTTTAACAAAAATTAATGTCTTGTCTTAAATTATAACCAATAAGAGCTGTTGTCATTTTTTAAAAGGTAAGTGCTTAGAAGGTGAGCTTATGGCTCAAGTGAACTCCCTGAAAAAGTGATACCAGCTAGTCATCTCCATAACTCTGGCTAAAATATTCTTGGTGATGCCTGAATAGCATAAAAAGGATCATAAAAACAGGAATTTAGCCTGGGAAGAGTACAACATGAGTAAAACATAAAATTATCTTATTTGAGTACACTGTTTTTCTATTAACCCTCAATTTGGCATGCTCACATTCTATATTAGTTGCATTTGAAGCATAGATCATTTTTTGGTCTTCCTCCAGTGTCATCTTTTGAAAATACACATGCAGTAGATCATTTGTGGTTCTTTACAGCAGATAAGCATGAACATAATATTAGTGTTCTTGTCACACCGCTGAATTCTTTGAGTTTGTCAGTTAATGTGCCACTTTTTGTGAATCTGGGTTTTAGAGGTCAACTGGTCCCTCGGTGTAGATAATGAGAGTATCCCCAAAAGCCCCCAAAAAGTTCCAGTATAATTTCGGCAATAAAAGACTGAAAATCTTTAAGCATTTATTGCACAAACCATAAAAACAAGTCTTATATATGAAATAGCATATTTACAGGAACATTTGCCAGCTTGTTTATATCAAATGAAACTAGTTAGTACTTGCTACTAATTTGCATACCAAAAATAGTTGCAACACGAAGGCAGTTCCATAAATTCAAAGCACATGACTAACGCTTTTGTAGATAAGAGGGCATTTAACCACTTAACAGCCCGCTCAACCGTGAGAACATTTGCTCTTAGTGCACTTCCTCAAACTAGCTCTAAAATCTAGTTTAGGTATATGATGCCTAATCAAGCATTAGTTGTGACTTTTTTTTTTAAATCACACTTTTACCATAAAATGACATTCCAACTACTTGTGAAAATCGGTGTAGATGTTAAGCGTGTAATATAAAAAACTTGATGACTTCAGTTTCTGAAACTGTCATTTATTTCTCAATTTACGGCTTAAATGATCTGAATCCAAACACATAATTATCTGCCAACATCCCATAACTTGGTCATCTACTCATTTCCATGTGTATCATAAATGGTAACAAATGACATAATTGTGATCTGCAGCCTGACATCCAACTAATTAATCAGCAACCAAACATTATGCCTGCCACGTTGCATGACTGCAAATACATGATTAATTGGCTTTATCTAAAGCGTCAGTCTTTAAATTTTGCAGACGATAAGATGAAAACACATTTTACATGTTCAGTTTAACAGTATACAAATCATATTTTACAAGTAAAGCTCCATGCCAGCAAAACTATCAGAACTCTGCTAAATGAGATGGATGTCTCCCACCATCCATAAGTGCTGGCATGCTGGATCTTAACTGATGAGATTATGTGTCTGTGGGCTTTAACTGTCCTCCCTTCTGTATCTCCTGCACTTAATCATTTTTACAATTAATTTTCACATGCACATATACCTTGAAATATAATATGTCCTCGTTCATTTAGTGGGCATGCTTGCACCTCTAAATGTGTGTAGAAGCTCTGCCATCCATGGAGCTGGTCCTGGACAAGTATCGGCTGATGGTGTTGCCTTCCTCGCCCAATGCGTTCTCCATCCTTGAGAGCAAACAGCTCTTTAACCTCTGCTTGAAATCATTCCCCATGAAGACATACAACACCGGGTTGAGGAAACTGTTTGCCGCTGCTAAAGAAGTGAATATTTTGAGCCCAATGTCTAAAACCTTGCGGTCATAGAGATGGTGGTTCAGCTCAAGTAGCACAAACACATGATAGGGCAGCCAGCAGATGAAAAAAGTAGCAATGAGCGCCGTCATCACTTTCAAGGGCCTGGTTGACTTTGCCATCCTGCTGGTTTGAAGTCTGACGATGATGATGGAGTAGCAAACAATAATGATGATGAAGGGAAAAACAAATCCTGCCAATAGACGGCTCACTGCTATAACCGTGTGACTCTGTGTCCCTGCGGTGTAATTGTTGAAGCAAATGGTCCTATGCATATGATGGCCCACATCCCTGTAGATCATTGAGGGAACACTGAAAACAATGGCCATGACCCAGGCAAACACAACAACGACTGATGCTTTTTTAATCGTGCGATGGTTCTGCGCCCAAACAGGAAACATGACCGACACACAGCGGTCGACGCTGATGACAACAAGAAGGAAGATGCTGCTGAACATGTTGAGGAACATCACCCATGAGCTGAACTTGCACATGAATTTACCAAAGATCCAATTCTCCATCGCCCCATAGGCAATGTTGAATGGGAGGAAGGCACAGAAGACAAAGTCAGAGATTGCAAGGCTCAGGTACCACGTGGTGTTGACTGTCCTCTTCATCTTGAAGCCAGCGATCCAGATGACCACAGCGTTTCCACAGAAACCAAGCAGGAAAATGACTGCATTGATTGCGATTAAAGACACACATGTGCGATCTTGTTTACATACTGGTTTGTGCTGAAAAACTGGCTCATCGATCGGAGAGGAGTTTACATAAGTGTAGTTGTAATCCTCGAAGGTGTAGTCATCGTTGAAATCCATTCTGCCCTGAAAATTCAGCAAAAAATGAGTGCGGGACTATAAATTGATCCGCCATAACATTATGACCACAGGCAGGTAAATTGAGTGGCACTTCCTATCTTGGCCCAATCCAATGTTGTGCTGTGAAAACATGAATCCTGGGACTCACATGGCCCCACTTTGACATTTTGCTAAACCTTTCTGCTTTTCTGCTGACCAGCCACCCCACAGCCTGGGCATGGTAAAAACCCCTCCGTGAAAAAGCAGTTCTCCACAGACAGACAACACTGAGCCTCCCAGAAGGGCTAAGCTAGGGCTAAAGCACACATCAAAGAGCCTGTGATGTGGAGTTAAACTGTAAACTCTCCAGACATAAAACTGATAAGATCTGATAGTATCTGTGGGGAGCAAGTTCACTACAACAAGACCCTCTCCACAACCCAAAGACCCAAATAACCATTATGGATCCTTTTGGGTCTAAGGTCCTGATACAAGACACTATCACATACCTTATTGATCACCCTTTAATAGGTAGCTCTTTTTGTAGAATGTGTAATAAAGTGCATAATAACATTTTTAAATTGAGCCTCTTTTTTAAAAATTCTTAGAATCTTCTAACAAAGTATATTATCTGTTTATATTCTGACCTCCCATGTAAGGCCATATCAGTAAAAATAACCTTACCACTCAGGATGTCCCTTGTTGCCTCGGTCTCGGTTAGAGCTGAAATGTCGAGATGGGTTGCTTCCTTTAGATGTTTCTCTAACAGCACACAGCATCAGCTGATTGAGTGGTTTCGCAATACTTCCATCCGCCGTAAAAATCTCATTTCTTCTTTTTGAGAAAAAGAAGTTTAGATATCTTAGATAAGATGTTGTTGTTGGAGGATGTTTTTTTTTTGTCACATTGTGCGTTCTTGGTCTCCCTCCTCTAACAAGTCTTTTGCGGTTTATGAAATTCGATATGATATAAGTTCGCACCTTAACTCCTTTCCTAATATAATCACAGCAATGAAATATTGTGATATCAACTTACAATCAAAATGCTTTCAGGTTTTTGTTTCATAATTGTTGTATGAGGTTCTATTTGCACCAAAATATTTTAGAATGCACGGTGTCGATATCTGAATTACTGTGTGCTTTTGCTTCATTGTACAAATGGCCATGACAGAAATCGCAGACTGAATTTGAGTAATTGAACTTAAGTGAATAAATTATAATATCAACACAAAATCAGATAAACTGAATGCAAAACTATCCATTTTTTCGTATTTCATGGGTCTATTATTGTCAAATAACATTTTCATGCTTGTTTTTTCTGCTCACAAAGCCATTCATTTAAGGGGGGGTTTATTTGTATTGTCAGTTTTCGTCTTGCATAACAAAACACTGCAGCGACAGACAAAGGGGGGACAGTTGACGGACAGATCCGGATGGCTAAACAGGATAACAGTCGAAAAGGACAAAGTCAGATAACAGAAAGTCACAGAGATTACAGAAGTGTAGACCAAAGCTGAGCTGACACAATCTTTCCCTTTGTCATGTTTTTATGTAATAAAGATTTGCTATTCAAATTAAATGAATATGGACAAAGGTTTTGTGATATGTTCAGTGATCATAAATGGGCACAGGAGCACGTTTTTTTCCAGAGTACAGGACAAGGATTTTTTCATTTCTTTCCTGTGAAAAAGAAGCCTTGAGAATTGTCATTATCATTAAAGAGATTTGGAAGCAAAGCAAGATTTGTTTTTATAAAAGTTATATTACCCTCCCAGCTTTAGTTGCAGATGTTATTTTTAATACACTCAAGACTCAGCAGCTGTTGTGAACTGCCATCAAATTGTAACTGACTGAATTATGGCAGTGATGATCACTGAGGCAGATTAATCTGTCCACAATACTCTGTGTTGGTCGCGAGTGTGAGCGAGCAACAGCAAGAGGAGTTGTAGGAAGAAGAAGAACAGATGGTAAAGTTACTCAAGCTGAAAAATGATATGATGACGGAGGGAGACGGCTCGTCAAACAAAATATAGGATTTCTGATTCCAAATACATTTGTTTTCATTTTGTGAAACGATAGCATAAAACTCAAGAGTCAAACTACTTTATGGTGGAGCAGATTTCTTCAAATGCCATGTTTCAGTTCCATAAGGAAAAAAAGCTTTTTGTCGTCTCAAACTTTAATCAACCAGAGCTTTGAGATGATGAATTTGACTGATTCTTTTATGCTGTGACATCCTTGCAGTGGATTAATGCAGGATTCACGATATTCCTCATTCCTTCTTTTTTTGTATATACACCGTTGGAAGGCTAAAGTTCTTCAGATTGGAAAGATAAACTCTATTTCAGGATTCAATCATAAATAAACATTAAAAATGATGACCCGTCCAAGATGTGCCCCTCGTCTTGCCCAATGCCTGCTGGGATTGATTGGAATGACTATTATGAAAGGAGAAATGAAACTTTGAGTTGGTTAGCACCATCACACCGCAATCAGCGGGTTACTGGCTTAAAACCTCTTACATTTCCTGCTTATTATATCAGACAATAATGACAAAGCTAAAAGGCCTGTACTTTCGGTCTGAAATCAAAGTCTTTTTCATTTTGAGACAAAGAGACTAAAAGAAGTCTTCTGCCTTTTTAGAGGGTCAAATTGATCTTGATAATATTTAATCCAGATTGCAAAAAATTCCAAGAAATGAATATTCTTCTGTCCATTTTATAACTACTCTAAGCAAGAAAATAAGGAGGAAAAAAATGCAATATACACAGTTCAAATCCCGCTTCAATAGATCAAACTGCTCAGAGTGATGACTTTAGACCTGATTGTTTGATTAGTCTTTCAGCAATAATTTTATCTCCACTGGTTAAAGTCTGACCATGAACGCGGTTTTAACAATAGCCCTCCCACACGCACAGCAAGAAGAGTAACACAGTCTGCACACATCATCAAAGGATGTGTAATGGATTTTTTAAAATTATTTATTTATTATTTTACACCAGTTCATATTGGCTGTGTTTTCCTTTAGTGATGTCTTTACAAATTTTTTCTGAAAAACCTTCAAAAACACTGTCTTTACCCTGAAGGTATCAGCTGCTTATGTAAACCGACACAGAAATGTTCATTTAATGTTGTTTTTACATGTGAGTCTTGAAAACTACGTGTCAGTATGGGATCTTTCTCCAAGTTCTGCTCTGCAATTTTCCCCCGCGAAGTAATTACAGTTTTACTCTTGCGTGAGCTGCAAATCTTGTCATGAACATTTATATTCCTCTCACCAGTGAGATTCCACAGTAATGTAATTAAAACAAATCACCACAGAAATCCACTCTTTAAAAATATAATAAAGTTTCAATTTAATAACTCATAATAAGGTAAGACGTTTCCCACGTTTTCCAATTATTACGATGGCAAAATAATTCAGAGCAGGTTTACTAGAGAAACTTCCTTATTGTATTCCTGAGCTCACGAAGCTCTGTGGTGAATTAGGAAATATTAGTCTGTATACTGCATTATCTGACCTACTTAGATGTATTTCAGTAAAATCACTTTCCCAGACCTGGTGGTGCCCTGCAGATTAGATTTCCTAATGAAGGCTGAGGTTATAAATAATCAAGCAAGTGTACAATGAGCGGGTGTAGACTTTCTTTTAAGAGATGCCCCTCTGAGGAAACTTAGATTAATCCTTTATGCTTCAGAGGATGTTTTAGACTTCAGTGTGCTGAGGAATCTACACCGCCATGACACATCCTTTTATACTTTATAAGAAAAGAGCTTTTTATGTCCATGTGTAAGTGTTACTGGTTCAAATCTAATGTGTGGAGTTTGCCTGTTCTCCTTGTGTCCGCTTGGGTTCTCTCCAGGTACTCCAGCTTCCCCCCACAGCCCAACAACGTGCCTGTTAGGCTATCTGATTATTCTGAATCAGTTAAGTGTGTGATTGTTTGTGTGTGAAGTTTGCTTTTTCTCAGCATTCCTGTGTCAAATGCAAATTTTGGCTGCACATTTGGCTACAGCCTATGAGATATTTGGTTACGGTTCAGGGGGGACAGCCGTTGTCTGACCAATAGGAAAGCAGTTGTTGGATACTTGGCTCTCTAAATCACATGTTAAAGTATCCTTGAACATGACACATAAACACACATTTGTCCTAAAGTGAATATGTGTGATGTAAGGAAAAAAGCTAAATGAATTCTGTGGTATTTTTTAGACTCTGGCATACTCTGGCATAAACGTGAGTATGTTTCCGTGGGTTTGTAGTGTACAGGATCTAGAAAAGTACTATGGAAGTGAAAAAATCTTTATACCAAAGCAACTATAAGTGTGACGTAAAAATGCTGCTTGAAAAGTAAGGACTTGTCCTGTTTAGCATCTTTAACATCTCAATATCTTCAACAATGTTTCAGATCTTCTGTGCAACAACTAGTTGTGATTTAAATGAATATGACAATTGAATATCTAAAAGCACTTTATGAATGCAGACTATTTTCTACTTAAACATTATGAGTATCAGCTACACAACAGCATAAAGCCCTTGCACAGACTCACTGAAGTCTTAAGGATCAAAAGATGTCAAATGTAAACACCTAAAAAAGTAAGAAATGTTAACATTTGCCTAAATAAGGAAAGGCGTCCCTAAGTTATATGGAGGAATGAGTTGTTGGAATGTCTCAAAACCCCTGCAAGTTTTTCAGACAGGGGCAATATTTGTAAAGGTGGGAGACACGCTGCACTTTTCCCAGCTCTTAAGATGTTAAAAGAGATACGATTTTATGGTTCTAATTCATTGAGATAAGACAATGGTCCCTGTGATTGTAAAAT